ATAAAATCCATTTTATTTCAGACGTTCTTGTTTCTGCTCCTTTCTTTTTTGTGTTTTAGAGCCCACGCGTTCCTAAACGGGGCTCCAGGGTAGAAGCTGTCAGATAACTGTTGAGTTGTCAGTCTCAGAGCCCGGACAGGTCTTCTCCAACCAGAACAGTGTCCTTTGATCTGTGGCACATTTTTGAAGAATGCTTTAAAACCTTGGTTGAACGATGACAATGTAGACTGGGAAGAGTAACAAAAAGTCCTTTAAGGCTGGTAACCACCATTTGCTGCTTTTCAATAAATCTTCAGAGGTTTCTTCATGAATCATCCTGAGAGTCCCCCAGTCATGAGTCTTTTGTCTGACAAGTGATACTGGCTGACCCGTCCTAATCCTCATCTAACCACCTGTATGTGTTAGGCTGGGTTATCTAGAGAAACAAATCAAGTGACATTCATCTATGTATGTATATGAAAGAACTTTATATCAAGAAGTAACTTTATCTCCAGAGAATGTCTCAGCCCTGTCCAAATCCAGTCCCTAAGACGGATGCAAGCCAGGGCCTTCTTCACACTCACAGAGCTGCAGGTTGATAGTGCAGAAAGGTCAATCTGGATCACAGGCCAGTGGGTGAGGAGTCAACTGAATCCAAAGTCCGTGGAAACATGGCAAAGCACCAAGAGTTCTCAGGGTTGGGCAGCCCACATGGGGCAGCCCCTGGAGGCTGGCAGAGACCCAGCAAGCATGAAAGTAAAAGGGCAGAGGAAGAGAAGAGGGGAATTCCCCGTTTCTTCCTTATAAGAGATGGCCACACCCCCAAGGAAGCATCATCATAGTGACCTGATAGACAGGTTGGACTCCGCCCCTTGCCAGGAGTGTCTAGTTGACATAAGATCTAACTACCACACTGTCTCCCACCTCTCTACTTATATCCCATTATAATAAGTCTGAGAGAATCACCAATAGGTGGCACTGCTAAGATTCACTTAAAATATTTAATTTTAGGAAAAAGATTTATGAATACTATTCTAGAAATACACATATTTTTATATTCTGGTTTAAGAGTTAGGGAATAATCATGTTCTTCTTTCTAACACATTTGAAAGCACACAGCATGGGAATAAGAGGTGTATTTACCAGAAGAAAATTGACCTAAGGAAGAAGGGCTGATGCTAATATGAAACTCATCTATTATTCTGGCTGCCTTGAGAATGAAGATTCTGGAGAGGGCAAGGAGTTAGAAAGGAGAGTGATTTCCAATCTAGCAATGCTTAGTACCAGAAGTCCTGGATAAAAACGTTTAAGTGCTCTAGTAGTTGGGCCAAGTCCAGTAACGAGACATCTCAACCAATGCCTGTAAGTTCAGACAGGTGGGAAGGCAGGCAGGATCTGGACTGTCCATCCAAGATAACAAGGTTATTTTAGCCACCAAACTTGTACTTAGAGTTACAAAGTCAGGGCCTGCCTAATAAGATTTGGGTAGGGTTTCATATCTTGCAGGAGGAGCCCTGGTGGCATACGAGGTTATGTGTTGGGCTGCAAACTGTAAGGTTGGCAGTTGGAACCAGCAGCCACGACGAGGGAGAAAGATGAGGCTGCTGCTCCCATAGAGAATTACAGCCTCGGGAACCACAGTAGGGCCATTACGAGTCAGAATTGACTTGATGGCGGTGGGGTTGGTTTTAGGTTAGTTCTTCCATAGCTAACAGGCATTTGCAGCTTATGGGTGTGGGTACTTAAAATGTGGAAAAACGCAAAATACTCACCCTATCGAATAGGCACATGGGAAGACTTGGTCATTGGAGCTTGAGGGCAAAGACCCCCACCAACAGAAAAGAATCACCTATAGGGGATGCCATACGACAACTCAGGAGGTAGTAGGTACTGAGTACAAGATGACAAGATTGTGGAAGGGTGTTTCTAGGTGGTGAAATCACAAGCAGGGAAGACAAAGTCTGAAAAAAAATGAGTCTGGGGTTGGGGGTGCTGAGAGGACTCAAAGGTGTGTTGAGACTTCAGGTCTGCCCCCTTTCCCCCTCAACTCCCCCCAGCATCTAGATGGCCCTAAGAACTCGAGCCCAAAGACAAGGGCTAAGTAATTTTATTGGCTTTGAGTCTGGCAGGAAAATAAATAAATTGACCTTTGAGAAATGTGGCCTAGTAATAATCTTTGACAAAGACTGTAAACAAAGAAGGGAGTTGCTAGAAACATAACTTGCTCGTTCATTTTGTGCATATGTTTAGTTAAGTCAACTTCTGAGGGTCTTTGGTCACGTCCTCACATTTTATTTTAGAATCCTCTCAGGTGCTCTGTTGGTATTCGGAGGGACCCGCTGCAGTGCTGAGTGCAAGGGTTGGGCTCTGAACCACACAGGGCAGAAGCCTGAAGAATGGGGACGTAGTTTTCTGGAGAGAGCTTTGGACTTTTATCTTCCACTGGTATGAACACCTTCATTTTTATTGGTCAGCCCTGAGAGTTTGGCTTATTTAGTGGTACAGATAACTCCAAGGTTGCTCTTGGCAACCTGAAAGGTAGATCCTGAGGATGCCTATATATTTTTGGCATATTGAAATGATAGCTTTCTAAGACTGGAGGGGATCTTGGAGGTCATCTAAATTAAATTGCTTCATTTTACAACTGGGAAGACTGAAGTCTATAAAAAGTAGGTGACTTGCTTAAGGCCAGGATATGAGTGGCAGGGCCAGAGCTGAAAGGCACAGCACTAGGTTCTCAGTCCACGACCTTTTCCATTACTGTGCCTCTATTTCGTATGATAGTCCTAGGTTAACAAATAATTAGAGTTTGTGGAAATTTTCAAATCAATGTATGATGTCCTATGAGAGTCTATAATTAGCATTTTAGTAATGCTGGTGCTCAATTTTGTCAGTCTCTTATGTGCAAGCCCTTAATGTATCTACTAATTTTCCTACCTTCATCTTTGACTGGTGGTGATGAATTGGTGCATTTTGCTTTAAAATGTTTGTAAATTTTGCAGAAATTATATATGTACATTTGGTCTTCAATTTTCAAGGTGGAAAAAAAAGACACAATGGATTTTTCTTTTAGGGCAAGAATTTGAGAAATCAATTTGAATACGAATCCCCCCCCCTTTATTCAATACACAGAAAAGGAGAGGCGTTCTGTTTTTTTTAATTTTGGTCACATTCTTTTGCTAATTTTTCAGTGATTTCTACTTACATGTGAACGATGCCCACATAAGAAAATGGTCTGTTTTAGGTCATGCTGTGGGCAGAGATTAATTGGTGAAAAATGGGCCTGTTTGTGGGATTTACCACACAGTAAGGTTTCTCATCTCCCTGGAAAAATGTGAAGTTAGCTCTTGGAGCAATGCAGGTCTGTCATGAGGTTGGAGGGCGAGTTTTGGTGAAGGAAACACAGTTCACTCTCTAAGGCAGTTACGATTGGTCCGATTCCAGAACAGCCCCATTGCAACAGCACAGTTCCTTTCTACCCGCTTTCCAGTCCCCTGCGTGCTGCTGGTTTCGTCACGGAGAGCATCTTAATCGGGCTTCTTTCAAAGACACGGGATCCAATGGTTTTGGGGAATGGTTTTTAGGAAGAGGCCTGCCCTCCCCCCACTCTCTAGGATTAGACGGAGTGAGACAGCATGAACTTGGAACGACGTTTGTGACAGCCCATTTTCTACGCAGCAAGGTCAGAGGCGCGCGCAGACGTGGGCCAGGGCTTATGATGGCTAGGTTGCAAATCAGAGAGGATGGGGTGTTGGATCCTCACCTGTGGAGATGGCTCTGGAGGGAGACAGGCTCTCAAATGTTTGGGTGGTCCCAGAGAGCAGTCCACGCGCGCTCTCCTCCCGTCAGAGCCCCTGCAAGGGTGCGTGCGGGGCCTGCTCCGGGGGCCGCGAAGCCACATTGCAACAGAGGGAGGGCGGGCAGCCCTAACCGCAATGCTTAAGCGTTTCTGTGTGTCACCCAGCTCGGCTTGAGCAGTCTGCGGGCCCACCCCAACGGCCCTGAGGTCAAAGGTGGCAGCCCTTCTCCGCCGGGTCTCCCCACCAGGCAAAAAAGCCCTCTTGCCCCAAGAACTGTTGGATCTTGGTCTAGCGTCAGAGACTTACCCCCCAGGGGAACCTGCCCGCCTGGGAGCCCAGGAATGGCGGGCTAGCCCGCTTCCCTCCGG